TAATAGTTTCTTATTTTCTTCCTATTATTGAATACATTCCCTCTTTTAGTGAAATTGGTCTCCTGAACTTCATCCTTCTTTCGCCTCCCCTAGAAAACTGCAAAGCGTATCGCAGTGTTATTCACGTCTCACATGGAGGTGTTCCCAACATCCTCTCCAATATATCCCCATATATATCCCATCCGTTGCTCCTCGAGTGCACCTGCTGGCGGCTCGTCGTCAGCCGGGCGCGGCTCGCTCTGGCAGCGGGCGCTGGTGGCGTGTCGCTCGGCGAGCCGGTGCAAAAAGGGCGGTATCGGGTGCCGCAAAGCGCGAGGCGAAGTTTTTCCCGCCGCGCCCGCCATTAGAGCGAGATCAATCACGCGGGCGTCCGACACCGCTCTCCTCGCCGAGCCTCCTCGCCCGCCCCGCTCCGCCCCGCCCCGCCCCGCCCCGCCCCGCCCCGCCCCGCGCCGAGCGAGCTCAGCCGTCCGCGCGCCTCTAATTAGCGGGAGGCGATAGTCGTTCGAGATACCGAAGGAAGGAGGGGATTTCGTTCGCGGACGAGGCGCCGCGTCCTGCAATCCTACCGCGTGCCTCCGGCTGGGCGATTGCACGGTGGCCAGGTCTTTCGCGTTGTCGATCTTCGCTGCGGTTAGGCCAAACATTTTTCTTCTATTGTTGCATACTTCTCCGGATTTTTCTTTTCCGGATTAGATACGGAGTATCACACCTGGAGGGGCAGGAATACTTTTAATAGAAAACGCCGATACAAACTGAACGTTTCGAGTCGTTTCACTTATCATTATTCATATTCTGTTATCATCCAGTCTTTTGAAGTTCCATCCTAGGCGATCGTACGCTTTTCCGCGATTGGGCGATTGCAACAAACGGAGGATGAGTGCAAAGGAAGCAGTATGACCTCGGAGTGCGCGCCGTGCTCATCTTGGGTTTCGTTTCGGAAACGCAAATGGCCAATTTCGGTGCCAGACTTGTGCGATCTGTTTACCGCGCAGGGATGGGGGCACTTTAGTACTGATTTGATGAGCGGAAATCTGTTTTGTCAGCAGCGAGGTCACGAAGCGTCAATTTGAATCCCTGCATCGTCGACACGTTCGTCTCTTAGTGCTTGATGGATTGTTAGTGATCGGACGCGTCAACTTGTTAAGCATCATTTTTCCCGTAAGTGTAATGCGTGCTTTTTCCTCGTGAGATGGTTTGTGGATTCTCAGCTAGCTGCGAGATCCTGGCGCCGACCTACCAGACCGCTAGCCGAGGTATTCTCCCGCCATCGGGGCACCCGCCGCAGTCGGGACTAGTGTCTAACCTCCCGACCGGTTCCTGGCATGTGTTGGTAGTGTAGTGCATGGTTTAGTATTAAAAAAGTGTGTGTACGGGTGAAAGATAAGACAAGAAAAGGGAGGTAAATATCTATCTCGGTCCGCGGCCCGTTTGTTAGTATACTGCTCGGTTTTCGCCTTTGGTGTTGATCGGGAGAATCCACGGGAATCTACCAGATCCAAAAACGGCCTGGCCACTTGAATTTCTCCGTCCTTTGAAGTAATGATTACTTTGTAAAAGCAAGCCGAGAAGGGTGGAGAACTAACCGCTCTCGTCACTGCGCCAAGTGTCGCCTTCTTCTTTCACGTGGTCGCCGCCGCCACGTTGCATCTGCAGGCCTCCTTTGCTTTTGCCGGCCGCGCTGGCCGCCAAGAGAGGGCGCGGTTCTCATCTTGCCTCGTCGCCGCCTCCGCCGCACGTGTGTTTTGCGTTCTACGCGCAAATCCCGCCCCTGCTAAATTATTCTCTCTC